GGGGGGGGGGGCGGGGGGTGTCTACAGGACAGGATGCTTGAATTTCAAAACACCCGTATAACCCAAGGCATCCCGTCCCTGTAACCAGAAGATGGGCCGAGGGAGGGAGGGAGGCAGCAGCCGGAGAGCTGTGTCCAAGCTAGAGAAGGACTGGCTTTCCAGAGGCCCATGGCCGGCTCGGGGCTCTCACTGGAGCCACACGCTCCGGCTGTAGCCCTCGACCCGCCCCGCAGTTCCAGTTCCCAGGCCTGGCGCACGGGTGCACACAAACCCCTCTCTGTCGGGGGCAGGGAGCAGGCTGGGCTCGGGCTCGGGCTCGGGGAGAAAGCCAAGGGCCCTTCCTGAAAGAGGAGCTTAGGCGCCGCGGGCTCACCCGGTGGAATGGCTGTGCCATCTGCCTCAGGAAGTACTTGGCGACCTGGACCCCCTCGTCAACGGTCAGGTTGAGGTTGGCGTCGGTGAGGTGCTCCTGGATCCAGCGGGGCAGTTTTCCCCGCTTGTCGGCCCGGGCAAACCGCTGTGAGTGGGAGGGAGGGAGGATGTCAGGACCCTGGCAGGGGGAGCCTGGGCACCCTCGGCCTGGCCCACCCCATCTGGGAAACGACTGGGGCAACAGCCTGGTTGGCGGGGGCCCCGGAACCCGCACCTTGTCGGCAAAGACCATGAGGCCGTAGTCAGTCTTGCCCCTGATGGCCCGACCCACACACTGGGCCGCGTGGCGCATGGCATCGAAGGTCAGAAAGTCGTTCTCTCGAATCTGGAACTGGTCCCGAAGGTATTCCAGCCGCGCCTGCAGGTGCGGAGATGAGGGGGCAACGTCCCTTCCTCACACAGGTCCTAAGGAGAGGGCCCGACGGCGGCCTTCACGTCTTACCGCCCCCAGGCGCTGCTCACCTTGAGAATGCGGCTCTGGGTGTAGACGTAGGGCACCCCGAACATGATGACGGCCCGGCCGTAGTGGTGCACTGCGGGACACAGGACAGGGAGTGAGAGGGCTGACCTTGCGTGGCCCAAGAGCTCATGCTGTTTGAGTGATTGCACCCCAAGGGCCCTGCAGAGCACCCAGGGATGGAAGGAAGGGGAGGCCCCCGTGCGTGCCCAGGCTATCGGCCACCGGTCCCCTGGGGGAGCAGAAATGGCCACGCAGGCGCTTGGGGAGGGGAGAGCCTAGTCCACTCACCAAAGTCAATTCCCTCAGACACTTTGCCTCGGGCCACCGAGAGCAGGATGGCCCCACGGCCGTTCTCGCAGGCCTGGGGATGGGAGGCCAGGACACGAGATGCGTCACCTCGGAGCTGCCTCCTCTGGCCCCTCTCCACCCTGGACTTTCCTCTTCCCCCAGTAATACCCACCTCCTGGTATTTCTCCAGGGCCACACTGGTCTCAGCCCCATCTTGGGTCTCAATAAAGAGCAGCTTGTTCCTCTGGATGTTCTCGAGGATGCCCTTAGGGAAAGACACCAGGGAGGTCAGGGTGCGGGTTGGCGGAAGGATTAAAGGACAGGGGAGTCCTGGTTAAACTCAACTCTGACAGATTCCCATGCAACAGACCACTTCTCTCCCCAGGCCTCAGCTTGCCCACTGGAGACTTGGGGAGGGTGGTGGTACTGTCACTTCTTTGGAAAACCCCGTGACCCGGGGAGGGAACCAATCCTCATCCTTTGGACAAATGGAACAGGCATGTGGCTCAAGATGGCCCATGGGGATGCAGGTGATAGGTGGAGAGGCCAGGCAGAGCCGATCAGAGGCTGACTTGAGATTTCATATGTGACACTGAAATAGATGTGTGGTACTAATAAAGGACAGATACACAGATGGACCAGTGAGACAAAACAGAGGGTCCAGAAACACCCCCCCACACACACACAGATGGTCACTTGTGCCACTCAGTGCGGGGAGCTCTTTTCAGTAAGTGGGGCTGGAGCAATTAGATTTCCATATGGGAAAAAAATGAATCTTGACCCCTGCCTTACATCATACACAAAGGTAAATCTGAGGTACCTCACAGCCCTTAGATGTGAAAGCTAAAACTACAAAGCTTCTAGAAGGAAACACAGGAGACCATCTTCGTGACCCTGGGGTAGGCAAAGGTTTCTTAAATTAAGACACGAAAGGCACACAGGATGTGGTGCTCAGGTGGCTGACAGCCACCTTTCCCACTGTGTGGAAAGAGCCTGAGGACAAGACCAAGGTCTTGGTTGTGTGTGAATGAGGTTCCCACACATTGCCTGGTGCTAACATTAGACAAGTTCACTCGTCTCAGCCCAAAGCAGCGCCCTAACTTACCCGAGAGCCGGGCCCATGGTGCATTCAGAATCAGAAAGGACAGGGTGCCCCTTCCCCATCCACATCCTGTCGGGTCGCCAGTGCCCAGCCGTGGTGAGCTCCATTTCCCCATGACCTCACCCACACGCGCCCCAGAAGGGGCTCCTGCAGGTTCTTTGCTCCGAGCCTGTATCCAGCCTTAATTCTCCAGAACCTTCCTCTAGAGGCACAGCACCCAGCCAGAGTCACACCTGCTACCCAGTGTCTCGACATCAAGCCATATGTGCTGGAGAGACAGTCATGAAGTAACCCCAAAAACCCAGAAGGTGGGATGTGGTCACCTCTCTTGAGGGCCACGCCTCTGAGGAAGGGGCCCAGCGAGGCTGCTCATGTCTTAGTTCTTAACCTGGATGTTGGGAGAAAAGTGAACGCTATTTATTCTTTAAACTGTCCATCTGTGTTTTATACGCTGTCCTATCACCTATGATACAAGTCACCATTTAAAACACGAGGAATGAAGCCAACACACAGGGGAACAGAGCCAAGAGCTGAGACAGGGGCCTTCTGTGGCGTGAGTAGCTGGGCGTACCTGCTCGTACCAGGAGGCCACGGTGCTCTCCATGTACTGGTAGCTGGTAAAGAAGGCCACGATGCCATCGGGCACCACAGCGGACATCTCCAGCAGGAGGTTTCCGTAGTTCCGGATCACCGCTGTGAGGGGTCAGAGGTTGGACTCTCTCCTGGCCTGGTTCCTCCTCCCCACTCCCTATCAGAGCGTTCCTGTCTAATGGCTTGTCTTGAATTTGGGTTCCTAAAACCCCACTGAGGCCTCTGTAGGACTGTTCAAACACATTCTGCTTTTCCTTGGGAGGACGGCACCCCCAAACCCCTGAAGTTAGGCGTGGCCATGTGACTTGCCATGGCCGAATGCAGAAAGGGCCACCTGTCACTTCCAGGTGAGAACCTTTACGAGCCAGTTCACAATTCACCATGATCCTTCCTGTCACAGCTCGCCACCACAGTGATGTGTCCAATGGTGGAAGTCCCCAGCATGAGGAGACATGGGGCAGGCCCCCACCAACCCATGATGGCATGTACTGTGGGCAAGAAGTAGCTCTGCCTAAATCCACTTCGATTTGGGGGTATTTGTTACTGCATCGTGACCCAGCCCACACTGACTGCTCCACCTCCCCTCCTGGGACCCATACAAACCATCCCCTGTGGGTACCATACCGATATCCTCCCGGGTCTCAAATTTGGAGCTGATGGCCACCTGGTCATTGCCACGGCCAATGATCTGGAGAGAGCAAGAGAGGTCACGATAAGGGAAACAGCAGCAACCGCTCCAACGTGTGAGTGCAGGTGGCCTGCTAGCGCTGTTCGAAGCTTTTTATAGACGCAGGGTCATTGAATGAACCCTCAGCTACGCTGTCATCTGCATGGCGCAGGTGAGTAACCTAAGGCTCACAGAAGGCGTGTCGTGTCGCCCGCCCAAGGTCACAGCAGAGACTGAACTGAACCGAAGTCTGCCCACGTGTCTCAGCAGCAAGTACCCTCTTAGCCCGTGCCGGCCTCCAGCCAGTCGGTTCAGGAAGTTGCCTCTCACCCCCAGCTCGACAGCCACTGTGCAACGCCGCCAGCAACCTCACGGAAGCACGACGCGGTACGTGGTCCATGGTCAGCACCAATCCACAACCTCTGAAGGGCAATTCAGAAGCGAAAACGCTCTGGAAACTCCAGATGTTTAAGTTTGGCACGAATTCCTACAGCAGCAGAACCTGCCCTGAGCCTATTCAGAGTCCTGACGTATCTCCCTTAGTTTGACTCTTCAAAACATTTGCTGAAATATGACTCTCACTGGAAGGACTTGCCCAGACCCCACTGGCAGTGTTTCCAGTCTGGAAAATTCTCAGTTCTGAAACACATCTGGGGAATTCCCTGGCGGTCCAGTAGTTAGGAGGACTCCATGCTTTCACTACTGAGAGCCCGGGTTCAATCCCCGATCAGGGAACCAAGAGCCCACAAGCCGCGTGGCGCGGCAAAACAAAAAAACAACAAACAGAAAAAAAACACATCCGGCCCAGGGACTTCAGATATGAAACTGAAGGCCCATGTTACGATGTGCATTTTACAAAGAAGGGGACCAAGGCAGAGTGGAAGGGTCACTTAGCAAGGTCACAGCCAGACGATGAACTGGGCAAAGCCACGCTAACCAAGTACCGGGCCCTGGGCCACAAAGGCCTTTCACACCTGCTATCTCACTCAATCCCCTCAACCACCCTGGGAGATCACGGAGGGGGTGTTCCCATTTCACACATGAGAAAACTAAGGCTTG